ACAAAATAATATGCACTTAAGTTATTTTCAGGTCATTAACCACATCTCTATATAATTGACCTCTGAATTTTTTTTTTTTTAACAAATCATTAGACTTTTAAAACGATTTTCCTTAATTCCAGCTCCAAGTGCTAACTCTGACCAATCTTTCAGCCGGTAAGGAAAGCATAAGTGAACACACATGTGGGTATTTTGTAGAACACAAGTGAAAGATTACAACATAGGTTCTCAAAGACCTGGATTGTTTGTGCTGAAAAATTAACATTAGTGTTGCATACAGAACCAAGGTTTTGGAAACACTAGCAAAATTCTGCGAGAGCAGAGCCATAAGCAAAGACACAAGGGAAAACAGTTCTTAAATTGCTTCGTTCAGCATTTCACGATAGTTCTTCATGCAGTACTCAGGTTCCATCACTAGATGGCTCTACAAGTTTTCCTCAGGAAAGCAAATGCTTGGGTTTTGAATCAAGATGTCGAAAATCCTCCCCAGCCTCCCACCACCACCCAGACTTTCTCCGTCATCTTCTTTGTGCTAAAGAGAGGGAAGGAGTGGGGAGAACTTTTACAGAAGCTATATCGAACTACACTTTTAAGGAAAAAAAAATCATCCACTTATCCAATGAGTTAACTTATGTAAAGCGTGCAAATCTCAGAGCGCTACATAAATGCTACCTATTGTCGTTGTTGTTACAAGTCATCGTCACCTAGTTCCTATGATTTCTTGAGCACAATAAATAAATAAAATGTTACACAGACTCCCAGTGCAGCAGAGAAGTAGAGGACAAAGTCAGGAAGGCTAAGATGCATTAGCCTACATCCTCTTAGCCTTGTGAATGCTTCTTTTCCCCTCGGCTCTGTAAAGAATAATTAAAGTTAATGGATTGTACACCGACGTATCCCTAATGCCCTTGGGGAAACAATGAAGCAGTCAAGTCCAACCCTAAGATCCTCTCGTGCATTTAAAGAAGACCCCTATGTTTATTGGAGCCTTCTCGTTTTCAGTGCATCTTCTAGTATGGCGTTTTATTACCTGCAATCACAGTAATGGCTTGCCACTTCACCTTGGAGGACTCGCGGCTGACCAAGAAACAAATATTTAGTCTGGATTCCTCACAGTTTTCTACTGAGTTAAAAGCTACATCTTTAAAGCTTACATTTTAGGTTTTTTTAAAAAAAAGTTTCTTTCAATGTATAGGATGAAGTTTCTCAGATATGTTACAAATGTTATTGAAACATTTCTTTGGATATTTTATCCCCCTATAAATTCCAAGGAAATAAAGGTTTGGGTGGGAATATACTTATGCACTCTGAATGGTTGTATCAATTTAAAAGAACATGTTGATTCTAAAATTGTAAAGAGTTGAGGTGGAGAATTTTGGATTTGGGTATGCTAATCAACCTAATGCTTTTCAAGTGGAGTTTTAAAAAATAATTCTTTAAACACATATTGCATTTTTTCCAGACTGGCAATATTTAACAAAAATATATTTAAAACAACAAAACCCACATGGGGAAGTCACCAGGAATAGAAATATCATAATTCCTTAAAATCCTAACTGACATTAAACGTGAGGATGGATTATTAAAGACATTCTATGTACCATTTGGGGTTCCAAAACACGGTTTAGTGCAAGATGGTTGATGTATTTTATAGTGAGTAATTTCCTTTACATGAACGTGAATGTATTCCTCTCAATAAATGCTCCCATAGAACGAAATATTAGCATTCTTTAAAAGGTGCAAAATAGTTCTTAAACCACCAATAAAGATCTCTCATTGGCAGCCCTCACGAAAAGGGTTTTGTTTGTCCTTTCCACAAGACATTGGGCTTGGCCACACTTTCCCTGCTGTTCTTCAGGAAAAGGTGCTCTCTCCCTGCACAGTGACTGACCCCTTATAACCCAGGGCTCCTAGGCTGTGAGGCCTTGGATTCCGCACACGTACCAGTGGCTCTAGAGGAGACTGGTTCTCTGGCTGTAGTTTGAAAAAATGAAAAGCTCCTCAGAGCAGTCAAGGCATTTAAGAAAACAGATGGGGGCGCCAAACGACAGCAATAAAGCTGCCCGCAGACTTCCGCTTCTCTTACCATAATTGGTCGTTCACTTCGCAGCCTGGACCAAATGGCCTTTGGACTGCATGTTTGGTTCAAGGATTTGGGGCACCATATAACCTGTCGTTATTTTCAGTTCAGTCCCTTGGGAAAAACGGACAAAGTTTTCCTATGTAGCGGAGAGAGCTTTTTCAGGGTCTATAAGAGGGAACCCTAGCCCTGATTAAGCAATCATTTGTTTGGGGTATATGTCTCAGCTTACAGATATCAACAGATTCAAGGTCCTATCTCTGATCAGGACTTTGAAGTCTTTAGGAAAGAGTGGGCATATGTACGTGTGGCCCTGGGGAGTTAGGATCTGGGAAGGGTGTAAGATAGTAAGCGAAGGAGCAACTGGGGAAACGAGGCAGTCTTTGAGCTTTGTTATTAATTTGCAAAGAGGAGCCCGGGTTTTCAGCAGAGCAAGACCATAACAGTGGTCCAGGCCTGAATTGGCGGTGGGGGTGGGAGGGAAGAAAGGAAAGTCGGTTGCCATTGGTGGGGCAATTTGTGGGTGGAAAAGGAGTGTGGTGGAAGTGTAAGATAGCAGAGGGGTGTTTGTGTATATGGGGTGTGTTTGTGTGTATGTGTGTGTGTGTGAAAGAGAGAAAGAGAGAGAGAGAGAGAGAGAGAGAGAGAGAGAGAGAGAGAGAGAGA